GAGCTATATCTTGACACTCTAAGTTGTAGAAGTATGTTGCTTTATCAACTACAAAGGCTGAATATATTACAGCAACCGAAGTAGGTAAAAAAATACTTTTGATGAAATATTTTTTTCTTGAATTGGAGTTAAATTAAAAAGAGTATATGATATTTTATGATAGTCAGAGTGCTTTAGATTTGAGCAAAAATATCATATACCATGCTAGGATAAAGCACATTGATGTTAGATATCACTAGTTACATTTAATAATTGAGGAGCAACATATGCTATTGAAAAAAATCCATACAAATGAGAATGCAGTAGATATGTTAACTAAGATATTTTTCAAGAAAAAGCTTGAGCTTTGCAGTAACTTGACCAGAATGAGTTCTTTGGCCAAAGTAAGTTTTCAATGAAACTGCTATAATGATGAATCTCCTCCTAATGACGCTAGAGGAAGACATTGTTAGAAAAATAGGCTTTAGCCCCATATAATTGATTTTGAACCAATCAAAGACCATAAGGCTTGGTCTTTCTTTCTACACAGAACCCTAGCTACTTAATAAAAAGAGGTGGGACTATTTTGAGGTGAAGTTGCAAAAACCAAGAAGAAAAAAAAAAGAAAAGCTAAGAAAAAAAGAGAAAAAAAAGAGAAAAGATAGTTAGTTGAATGAAAATCGATTCGTGATTCGATTGAGCTAAAACTTTGTCATCATGTTTATGATTCAGAGTTCTACATTCTGAATGATGAAAATCGAGTTTAAAGCTCTCTAAGAATAAATTCAGTGTATATTTATTGAGTCACTTATTTGGTGAGATTTCTTCAATTAACTATGTAGTTATTGATTAACTCTAGTTTTAGCTCGAAAAAACCTTTGTATATCCATTGTTTAATAGTAAAGATTTTTTTAGTGGTCCGTAATTTTTCTTTCTACACTGGAGGATTTTTCATGCAAATATTCGTGTGCTTTATTTTTTTTTACGTTTTTTATTATTGATTGTTGTCTATTGTTATAGGTTTATTGTGATATATTACTTCAGCATTATTATTTTTATTGCTTCAAGCCCAATAAAGTTAAGGTATTTTCTTGTAGTTGTGAGATTGAGATGTTGCTATTTAGCCTAAAAAGTAGAGTGTTAAGTTGCTATCTAAGCCTAGGAAAAAGATAAAGTTATAATCTTTCTTCAATTAGTATATTGAAGCCTTGGCGAGGACAACTAAGAGAAAAGATGTAGGTGCCTTAAAGAGAAAGCCTGAACCTCTATAAATCTTTGTGTTTGATATTTCTATCCCAAACCTATTTCTGATTATTATTGTTTATATTTATTTCTAGGCTTATTAATTGTTGTTTGCCACATAATTTTCATTAATGAGCTTATTGTTTTAATTTTTCATTCAATAATTTTGAAATCGTTATTTGGGAAATATTTAGAGAAATCAAATTCTTCCATCTTGGATCAGCATCTCACCTAAAAAGTTAACAATTAACGTTAAAGCTTTGGTCTCTTTTTATAGATTTAACCACTTTAAGTAAAGATTATATGGTTTAATTTAAGATCCAAGATGATAAGACAGTCCTCAAAGCTATCATGATTGAAAGTTTTAAATATTATGAATAAAAAATGAGAATGAAAGAGTTCATCATGTCACAAAATGTTGAATGTGGTCATCAGCCGAATGTTTTTAAGTGCTACCATTGCTTACATCATGATTTATGTTAGATGCTATATCAATTGTTATTTTATCTTATTTAAAAGTAGTACTTTGTCAATTTTAAGTTGTAGATTTTTCATTAGACTTTGAACTTGGCATGTATCATCTACTAAGTCTTTATTAAAGGATTCCTGAAAAAAAAAACACTTTTGGAGAATATAAGTGAAAAAAAAATTATAAAAGGAATCGAAAGGTTGCCTAATTAATTATTAGCAGGTGATAGATTTGTTAGGAATAATGACTCAAATCTCATAAGAGATTTGTTTGAGATTTGTTTAAGATTTGTCAAATATTGCTTGATGGATAAGAAGATTTGCAAAAGAAGAATTCTAAGAGAAAGGAGATTCTTAATAGGTAAGTTTAACTTGCAAGAGAAGAATTCTAAAAGAAAAGAGATTCTTAATAGACAAGTTTAACTTACAAGAGAAAAATTTTAAGAGGAGAGAGATTCTTAATGAGTAAGTTTGTATGATTATACATATGTGAAGCCTCTACAGAGTTAGGTATAAAAAAAGATGTAAGAGAGTTATAAAATTTTGTGAGATAGATACCCCATATGAGTATTGGGGCTCTACGTTTTATGGGTGTGTATGTTTATTTATGAGTGAACTAGAAGAGACTGAGAGGGTCCACATAGGTATGATATATGAGAGTAAATGAGTATGCGTTTGGTTATGTTGAAAGGATACATAAAGATTTGAATTTGTGTTTATTTGAGTTTAGAATACTCCATAGGACTAGAAGAGATTGAAAATGTCTTATGAGTATTAATTGTTGAGTGAGATTGATGATTTGATGTATGTTTATAATTTTCTACAACTAGTGGATCTTATTTTTCATCCGTGAATGTAGGTCAGTTGAACCGAATCACGTTAAATTATTACCTCTTGTGTGTTTGATTTCACTTCCGTTAGTGTTATTGGATTGAAGACTTTTAGCCTAACAAATGATATCAGAGCTATGGTATTCTCCAACAAGTGGCATCAAAGCTGAAAGTTCGAAATGTGAGAAGGTTGAATATTCAAGATGTGAAAAGAGCCGAAGATTCGAGACATGAAAGAGCTAAAAATTTGAGATGTAGAAAGAGCTAAAGGTTTAGAAAATGCATGATTTGAGACATGAGAAGAAACAAGTCCAGAAAAGTTCAATTCGAGATAAGAGTTCGAATTTAAATTTTGAAGATTGATGATTAGTTTGTATGAAACGTGAAGACACAAGAGAAGAGAAGATGATTGGGAGACTTCTATTGAAGGCGAAGATAAGCATGTCTAGCATGAAGACAGATGATTGATGAAATTTACGTCAAGGTGAAGATTGTTTGAAATAATGACTCAAATCTCATAAGAGATTTGTTTGAGATTTGTTTGAGATTTGTTAGAGATTTATTTGAGATTTATTGATATTGCTTGATGGATAAGAAGACTTGCAAAAAAAAAATTCTAAGAGAAAGTAGATTCTTAATAGGTAAATTTGACTTGCAAGGGAAGAATTCTAAAAGAAGAGAGATTTTTAATAGACAAGTTTAACTTACAGGAGAAGAATTCTAAGAGGAGAGAGATTCTTAATGAACAAATTTGTATGGTTATAAATATGTGAAGTCGCTACAGGATTAGGTATGAGAAAAAGATGTAAGAGAGTTGTAAGATTTTGTGAGATAGACATCTCATAGGAGTATTGAGGCTCTACGTCTTATGGGTGTGTATGTTTATTTGTGAGTGGACTAGAAGAGACTGAGAGGATCCACATAGGTATGATGTATGAGAGCATATGAGTATGTGTTTGGTTACGTTGAAATGGTGCATAAGGGTTTGAGTTTGTGTTTGTTTGGGTTTAAAATACTCCATAACACTAGAGGAAATTAAGAGTGTCTTATGAGTATTGATTGTTAAGTAAGGTTGATGATTTAATGTATGTTTATAATTCTCTACAACTAGTGGCTCTTGTTTCTCATCCGTGGATGTAGGTCAGTTGGACCGAATCACGTTAAATTGTTATCTCTTGTGTGTTTAATTTATTGTTTAATTTCGCTTCCACTAGTGTGATTGAATTGAAAGCTTTTAGCCCAACAAGATTAATAATTCAATGGTTTAGATCAAACTTTTATTTTTTATTTGATTTGATGGAAAGATCAATGCCTTTTATATTGGTTTTCTTGATATATTGAATTTATCATAACACATTTTAAAAAATATAATAATATAGTAATATATTATTAATAAAAAAGGATCAATTCATATAATGTAAAACTAAAAAGGTTTTAAACATTTTTTTAATAATTGATCTCAATAGATCAAAAAGATGAAAGAGATATGTAAAAAATTAAAAAAAAAAAAATTAGTTTAATCTCATTCCTTAGATACATTAAAATAAATAATTAAAAAAAAGTATAAAATTTTTAGTTTTATACTATGTAAGTTGATTCTTCCTCAATATTAATATATCAACTATTATACACATGTTATCAATAACATACAATGAGTGAATATGTGCTTCAATATTTATTTTACGTTTATTTCCTCTTCTCTTTATTTCTTTTTTTAACTACAAGATTTCTTTTGTATTTTTTATATTTCATTGGAATAAAGTAGCTCTTGATTTATGTTACTGAAATATTTCCACATTAGGAGAACTAATCTGAAACCTTTTTGCATAATATTATCTTCTAATTGATGTTATTTGACAGCTGTTATTGAAACTTGAATATTTTGACAATAATAGAATTTTGCTTAAGGTCATCAAAGTGCTTCATTTTTTTTCTCATAAACACTGTTATGTTTGTGTTTTGTATGTGATTGATGTTGTGTTTAATTTATATTCAAAGAGCAAATAGTATTGTGGATAAAATAGGATGCATCAACTTTGCAGACTTTGGTGCATCCAACAAAATTTTGGAGCTTTTAAGGAAGCTATATAACTTTTTGCTCATGAATGATCATACTTTTTCAAATATGTCTTGAGATTATTATATTATAATGGTTATTTTCTTAAAATAATGGTTTCATCTACTTCATGTTTGATTCAACTAGCTTTGAGATTAGATTAGAAACATTTTCATTTGTTTAGAAAGGTTTCGGAAGGTTTTTTGCAATTAATCTAAAATCCAGAAAAAAAAAAGTTAGGGATCATAAGTGGAATTCACCGCTCTACCGAGTTTGTATTCTCAAACATGGAAAAATTCAAGAAATCTTGATGTGCATTTGTTATTAGTTTTAAATGATTATTGATTTGAGGCTATAGACAAAACAGAATCAAAGAGAGACATAAGATTTTAATCAGTCCCTACCAATAAGCTAAGATTAATTACCTGGGCATAAAAGCTTCGATGATCATTCTCGCCGGCTAAGTGGGAAACATAATTTTCATGTTTCTGAAAATTTTTGCCTTGAACTTTCAAGTACTGGGAAATCATCCCCTCAATTATGCCTGTCAAGTGTCTATTTTCCGCAGCTACCCTTGCATACTCCTTCTACAAGCATTTGTTTTCAACATTCAGTATAATATTTGCACAATAGAAAGCTAAACTAAAAGCAGAAGAGGGAAGCATCAAATCACATTAATGGAAATGATATCATATTTTATTGATTTATAGTTATAATTATATGCTAAAAGAAAAAAAAAAAAAAACAGCATAGAGAAATAGAGAAAGATATTTCTTTACCTTCTTTTTTTGCCGATTCAGTGCATTATTTTTTCTCTTATTTTTTCTCCTTTGAAAAAATCTTCGGTGTTGTTGGTTTGAAGCTTCAGATTGAGCTACTTGTGGATGCATCCCTGAGCCAAATTGTTCCAATTACTTTGGTTATTGCTATAGAATTAAATTAAAATATTTAATTTAGACAATTGATTGATTTTACAAAAAAAAAATCATAATAAATAATCCCCTTAATCTGTTTGCAGAATAAAAAAGAGAAAGATCATGGATGATTAACCAAGAAGTGAGTCAACTAAAGGTCAACTTTAAGTCAACTCTACCCATAAAAGCAGGGAAATGCAGAAAAAGAGATGAAATCAACAGAGAATGGGTATAGATAATCTCCATAAAAAAAAAAAAAAAAAAAAAAAGGAAAAGAGAAGAAACTGATTCAACTTTGGTTCATTTCTATAAAAGAAGCTAATTTAACACGAACAAGGAATAATCAAACACTTACCTGAGAAGCTGATTTAACAAGAACAAGGAAAATCAAACACTTACCTGCTTCAGAATCCTAAAATCAAGCCACTACCCTTTACTCTTTCTGATCAGTAACAACTTGCAAATTAAGTAAAATCTTAAAGGAATCCAATAGCTTCAACGACAAAAAATCAAGACTCATAAAAACTATGCTGTTAGTAATTTAACATCGATTAGAAAGATTAATGGAACCGTTAGATCATAGATGGCGAGAAAAAGCGCATCCTTTTGTTAACATGTGCAATGATTATATTAATTTCATTGAAACGCAATAGCACTGATTGCCAGACTTCAAGTGATCAACGTTTTTAACCTCCGTTCCGCGTTGCCGAATGTGCTGGAATCTTTAACCCTTTTTCATATTGTTCCCTAAGAATACTTCATTGCGAAGCCTTTTTTTTTTTTTTTAAGTATTATGTTTGTTGTTAGTACTAAGATTTTGTGGAGACGGAGAAATTGAACTTATTTTTGCTTGCTTTAGGGAAACTTAAGTCTAAAACTATAAATGTTAAAATTCGCTATATTGGTATCACTCACTCGTAATTGTGTAAAATTTGCTATTCTTATGTGACCAAAATCTGAATTTGAAAACTCCTACACTTTCACTTTTATCTTAAATCATTTTAGGATTGACTTTTACTGCTAAATGTAAGGAAAACATTCATAGAGTGAGATAAAAACTATTTTTACAACAGATAAAATAAGATATCCTAAAGATTTTTTGAAATTGTTAGATGAATTTAAAAATAATAAATAAAATTTATAAATTTTTTTAATTAGGTATGATTAATTTTTTATTAAAATTTATTATTTTAATAAAATTTTAAAATTAATTAAAATTTATCAAAAAATAATTTTTTTGATTTATAAAAATAATTTAGGTTCAAAAGTCGGTTATACATATGGAATAATTAACATTTTCACAGTGTCAGTTTAAAACGATATTAATTAATTATGTGTTATTTTTTAATTTTGACAAAAAAAATCTTAATTTTAGTATTTAAAATTAATTTTTTTAATTTTTTTATTGTAATAATTTTAATAATTTTTATTTTTCTAGTTTATTTGAGAAAATACTAAAACTTGTTATGGAAAAAAAAATCTTAAAATGACTCAATACATTAGTAACATTTAAAAAAAATTTCTCGCATAAAAAATTCTCGAAAATCATTATTTGAATTTTTCAAATATCTCATCTTCGGCTATTCATATTTATCTTCAAGATTTATATATGCAATAAGATACGATAATTATAATTTAATCCCAATAATATTAAAAATTTTCATTTTTTATTCTATTTATTAAAAAAATTTATTGAAAATTATTATAAATATTTCAATAAATTGACGATATTTAAGATAAATTTTATTACCTAAAGATTATTTAAAAATCACTATTTAAATTTTTTTATGATCTCATTTTTGAAAGTTTTATTTATTATATATATTTTTAATATGATGTACATGGATTAATTTGTGATACTATTACATTATATAAAAGTTCACTTTTAAAAGTGAAAAATAAATAAGAATTTTTCGTATTGAGAATTATTCTAAATATTCTAATTTTTTGATAATTTTTTTTAAAAAAATTTCTCACTTAAAGAATTTTTAAAAATTACTATCCAAATTTTTGGGAGTCTTGTCATCAAAAAGTCATTTAATTTTTTTCACATTCTACAATAAAAGTTTTCACAAAAATAAAAAAAAATACCAATGATAAAAATTTTTAAAAAAATATTTATTTTCATAAGCATTATTATTTATTTTAATTACATTTTTTAAAAATATTTTTTTTGTAAGAAAAATTCAGGGATAGATAGGTTGCTCAGTCTCTCAGGTTATGGCAAAAAGTGCCGTACCTATAAGCCTAAGACATATGGCTGCAAATCGTACATTCGAGATGACTCTAACAAATGACTATCGACAAAATTCGAACCTAGGACCTTTTAATCGAAAAAAAATAATCTTAACCGATTGAATCAAATATTTATTAGTATCTTTTTAAAATATTATTAACATAATGTAAAACATGCTAATAAAAGCCAAAATAAAAAAGTAAAAAAATTATATCTAAACAAAACCTTCATCTTGAAACCCAAAATCACGTGTCCACTTAGCCAAAAATTAAAGCCCAGCAACCTCCAACAAATAGTCCAGATGGACAAAACTTATGAGCTGGTCATGAGTTTTAGTTTAAATTCGAAATCTAAAATTTTGCATGATATAAGCAAAGCTAGCTTTATTCCATCAAAACATATAAAAATCGTTAAGACCATTGTAGAAAATAAGGTTTTACATATTTATTTGCTCTATTTCATTCATTCTATTTTGCCTTCAATTATCCTCTCCCTTCCGATCACTTCATTATATTTTGTTCATTACCTTTCAATATGTCTTAAATCATCGTTGGTATGACTTTCATAATTTCAATTTGAATCTAACATACACGTATAAATGGTGATAATGAAAATATTAAAAAATAGTTGACCCAAAAAATAGAAAAGGAGCTCAATCCAGCAAATGGATGACAAAATAGTATAGAATGATAAAAGATTATCTCCAACGAAGGATAAAAATGTAATTGGAATAGCATGCATGAAAATCTTGGATTTAATAATTAATATAGAAGATCAAATTCATACTTTGTCTGCAAACTCCAAGGCCATTGTTATTACATACGATAGAGGTCAAGTTGGAATAGCAAATACCCAAACATGCAATACAAGCAAACCATTGTACTTTTACACAAAGATGAATGTAGCTGTTGGAGATCAGATCAAAACGTATTCTTGATCCCTTAACCTAAAAAACTTTAGTTTTTAAGTTAGGGTTCAAAAATAGGTTTCAATTTAACCTCTGACAATAGGCCACTTTGTTGGATGCGTGGTGAGAGTCTATTGTACGTGCCATCTTGAATGAACTCCTATAGCGACACCAACAATCAGATGAGAGTCGTCTCTCACACCACGTATCCAAACTAATCAAATGTTAAAAGAGTTAAACATGTTACGCTCGGCACATAAAACACAGTACGGCAAGGAGAGTAAACCGTACTGTTGTTCTGGTAACGACCGTAACCTAGAAAACTCCTTAACATCAGAACCTTGTGAGAAATTAGTCCATCTCCCATGGACAACTTCATAAACCAGATAAGAGGGAAAAAAAAAAAAAGGGCCCAAAATTAAAGAAACAACACACCTAAAATAGCTAGAAATGGAGAAAGTTCTTGGTGCTGGAGCAATGGAAGGATCAAGGGAATAAACCAGTGCTGACAGACTTGCCATAGAAGTCTTTTGCATCAGCCAGACAGTCTTTGAAATCCTTGTATGTCTCCGCACGCTGCTTGTTCAAGGCATCCAATTTGTACTCTATGCTCTGAAGCTCTTGGTTTCCCATGCAGCCAAAATAAGCACGAGCAATTCTTTTCAAATGATGCATAGCAAAATCGACTTTGAAATCGATGCGAAGAGCATCCTTAATGGCATCCCTCCATTTTAACAATTTTTCCTCTGTAACTTGATGAAGCTCCATATCCTCCATCTCTTTAATTGTAGCACAGAAAAATAGATAGATTTTCTCCGCAACAATGGAGTTCATTAAACATGCTGCAGAAACATCACCATAGACATCGGTGATTCTTTCCACGGTAGAAACTAAAGACGATGGGAAATTATATCTTCCAATTTTTTTGTGTTCCCCATCAAAGCATACCATGAAGTCAGGGAAATCAATGCTGCTTGCAACATCGTCATCAAGTTTCTTCAGAAATTCAGTCAAGATGCTTTTCTTGAAAGTCTGAGAATTCTTAGATTTTTCCGTTTCATTCGACAACAGATCATCCAATAATTCATCAAGTTCCAAACCGTTCATAACATGGAACTGAAATAAAGAATTTTGGGATATATATTTCACAAGTCTGGAGTTATAAGAAAAATATTGTAATTAAGTAAAAAAAAAAAACATGCATGTGATAACATTAATAAACATGTAAAGATACTATTTAAGTAAAAATGTCTAAAAGATACTATCAAAAGTAATAATAATATTTTCAGATTTCTCAAAACAAATCCATTCAACACAATTATAAGCAATTATCATACCTCATCATCATTTCCCCCTGTATGAAAGACCATGCCTTGTTGGTCCTACAAATTATAATTAAGAAACGGAATTATCATAAATAAAATCACATGATATATATATATGATAACATGTTAAATCCTGATTACTTGTTTCTTTTTTCTACATATTACAGTTTTGGGGCTTAATGGAGGTTCCAATATTGTCATTAACTTGACTCACATTTGATCCCCTTTATACGGTGAGTTTTGGTTTCCTAGTATATTATTCACTGTCCAATTTTCAAATTCGTGGATTAATTTGTCGATTATTTTATATTTCATGTGAAATAATTAAATATAAAATAATTAAAGAAATAGTGAATTCTTCCATGCATAGATGTATTAAATATATATTAGTTAGTTTTTACACGAGTATATTCATTCCTATAGATTTATCAATTCTGTTTTGAACTTAAAAAATTCATTCAACTCACCTAAATTTAACTTAATTCAATTTGATTATAAAAAATAACAACCCGAACTTTTTCTAACCCGAATCAAAATAATCCGAACCTGAAATAACTTGAACTGTAATGATCCAAACCAAAATGACACAAATTAATCCGAAATAATTAGAGACTAAATTAAGTATAATTTTATTTAAAAACATTAATTTAATAAAAAATAAATATAATATAAATAAATATAATAAATATAATATAAATGATAACTTATAAAAGTTATTGAAAATATCATATTAATATATCTTTTTAATATCAAACTAATATAATTTATATATATGTTATGTTATTTATAATTTTTTTATAATTTATAATTTGATTTAAAATAAATTATATATTTTTAATTTTCATAGCTATACATATCAATATATTATTTGGAATAAATTAAAATATATAAAACAAACCATTGATTTTTGTATATATACCATGTTTATATTATAATTATATTATGAATTTTTAATCATGTAACTTAAAATGATCTACTGAGTTACAATTAATAAAATTCAAAATAATAAGTGATTGAATAATGACGTACAATCATACTAAAGTTATTATTTATATTGTAACTATATTATTAAAATAAAAAAATAATTATATATTAAATGTCCATTATAAATAAATATTTAAAATAATTTTTATATAATTATATTAAATATGTAATTGTATATTATAATTAGAATTTTAAAATATTTTTATATATTTGTATTAAATTAAAATAAATATAAAAAACTATTAAATGTATCAAATGTGACAAATACGTTTCTTGTATCTATATGTGTAATCATATAACACAGTTTAATTAAATATATTTTTTGTGTCTTACAATTGTTGACATATTAAAGATGGAAAATATATTTCTAAAACCCATACGTTTTTCTCTTATTGTTTTAATATCATTTCATTATATCATATTTAAATTTGTCAAAATATAATAAAATCACATTTTTTTTAAATTATATAAAAATTAAATTAATTTAAAACATACAAATTACTATATTTATATTTATATTTTATTTTTTTAATATTTTTTATCTTTTAATAAAACCCATACTTTTAATTTTACTAATTTCAACTCGACTTGACCATTAACCATTGTGTTGCATGTCACCATTTGTCGTTTCCTTTGTTTTTTTAATCATTATAGTTGTGTGAAGAAAGAAAAAGAGTTGGTGAAAGAGTTTTATCTTAAAACAAATAATAGTTAATGATAAGACAAAAAATAAAATTGATAGAATAAAAAAAAAATCAAGAAGAGAGATTTGGGTAAAAAAACAAATGATGATGACCAAAAAGAAAGGGATGATGAAAATAAGATAGATTTTCTTTCTCTCCACCTCTTGATTTCTCTTTCTTTCCTTTCTAAAAAAATTTAAACCATTTTTTTTGGTTCCCACTCTAATTTCTCACTTTTTACTATCATCAATCACCAAAAAGTATTTTTTCTACTAGCTCGAGTTTTAGCAATTCGCAACAGTCAATAAGGAGTTGATCGATTGTAACCCATTAGAGAAAGGTATCCAATTTAGTTTCTCAAACTTTTTATTAGAAATAATGACTCAACTCTCATAACATATTTATTTGAGATCAGTTATATATTGTTTGATGGATAAAAAGACTTGCAGAAGAAGAATTCTAAGAGAAAAAAAATTTTTAATAGGTAAGTTAGTATATTTATAAATAGGTGAACTCTCTATAAAGTTACATATGAGATAAAGATGTAAAAAAATTGTAAGATTTTATAGGATAAACACCTCATAGGTGTATTAGAGATTTATGTCTTATGAGTTTGAATGTTTGTGAATGGATTAAAAAACACTGAGAGAGTCCACATAGGTATGGTGCATGAGACTGAACTAAAGGAGATTGAAAGGATCCATGTAAATATGAGGAATAGGAACATATGGATATATGTTTGTATTAAAATGTACACATGAATATGTGTTTGTTTGGATTAAAAATATTCCATATGACTAAAGAAGATTGAGAGGATTTATGGATATTAGTTATTTAATTTGATTTGTATGCTTGTAATTTCTATAACTACTCATCCGTGCACGTATGGCAATTGGGTTAAATCACGTTAAATTATTGTCTCTTGTGTGTTTAATTGATTGTTTGATTACACTTTCACTGGTTTGATTGGGAAAAAGTTGTTAATCTAACAAGTGATATCAGAACTATGGTGATTTTTAACAGATGGTATTAGAGTTGAAGGTTCGAAACGTGGAAAGAACTGATGGTTCAAACCATGGGAATAGGCAAATCCAGAAGAGATCGACTCAAGGAAGAAATTCGAGTTCATGTTTTGAAGATCGATTTGCATGAAACGTGAACACATACAAGAAAAGATTGTGAGACTTTCATTACAAGTAGAGCTAAACATGTTTAGCATAAAAATTGATGATTTGATTGAGTTTAAGTTAAGGTAGAGATTATTAGAAATAGTGACTCAAATTTCATAACAGATTTGTTTTGGATTGATCAGATATTGCTTGATGGACAAAAAAACTTACAGAAAAAAAATTTTAAGAGAAAAGAGATTCTTAATAAGCAAGTTAATATGCTAAATATGTAAAATCTCTATAAGATTAGATATGAAAAAAAAATGTAAGAGAGTTGTAAGATTTTGTAAGATACACATTTCATAGGAGTATTGAAGATTTACGTCTTATGGGTTTAAATGTTTATGAATGGACTAAAGAAGACTGAGATGGTTCATATAGGTATGATACTTGAGAGTAAACTAGAGAAGATTAAAAGAATTCACATAAGTATGATGAATAAGTACATATGGTATGTGTTTGTGTTGAAAGGGTACATATGAATATATGTTTGTTTAAGTTGAGAATACTCAATGAGACTAGAGGAGATTGAAAAAATCTATGAGTATTAGTTATGTGTGTTTGATTTGATTTATATATTTGTAATTCTCTACAACTAGTGGATCTTGTTTTTAATCTGTGGATGTAGGCTGGTTGGGTTGAACCATGTTAAATTATTATCTCTTATGTGTTTAAATGATTGTTAAATTATGCTTTCGTTAGCTTGATTCGAAAGAGGTTTTTAGCCTAAAACTTTTGTTGTTATTTTTATTAGATCTAACCAACTAGAAGTATTTTCGATTGATCCAACCTTTGGATTAGGGTTTTTAATCATTTTTAATGAAAAATATTTAGGTTTTCTTTTTTGTATTTGTAAAAGAATAATGATGCAAGTGACTAATTTATTTTTCTATTTAATTTTGTTTGTTTTTATTAATAGTAATATTTTTGAAATCATTAATGAAATGGTAGGTTGCCTTAATCGTTAAAGGTAATAGTTTTCAAAAAAATGATATTTTGAAAATGATATTATGATTTGAAGCAAAGGAGAGAATACCTTTGTTGTATCTTAAATGCTAATAATACTTGACTTTAACATCTGAAAATGATATTTAAACATTTAAATGTTGGAACCACTAAGTTATTTTTCCTAAATTTTGTATAGTCATTATTCTATGTTGCGTATGGGAAGCTAGGACTACACTTTCTTCTCTAATGTATTTATTTAATTGTTTACATGTTACTCAAAAATGTACTCTAAAACTTTATGCTTAGTATATCATGGAATTACTACAATAAGCAAATATTTAGGATGAAAGATTAGCTTAACTATTTCTTATTTTTTAGCTTCCATTGTTTGTCACAAAATGTGACATGGTTGTGATGGTTATATAATAGGGAGGACCAATCAAGGATAGACATGACATCTAGATTTTATGTGCTATTTGATTCAAGTAAAAAGTTAATATTTTATTTAAGGCAATGAATCTGTTTATTATGTTCTATAATGGTTGAGCAATTTAGTTCCTGAAACAAAAAACGATCTATAAAAATCATGAAAATTATCTAAAAATGTTAAAATATATGGCTCCTGCTTATGGTAAAGGTTCATAATATGAACTTGTTAATTTTAAATTAATCTTGATTTTGAAATGACAAAATTAAACTAAATAAGCTTATTAAAATTTTGAAAAAAATTTATTTAGTACATGCTCTTAAGTTTTATTATTTTTTTTACTAAATAAATAATGTGTTTTTCAAAATGTAAACAAACTTTCTTTATATTTTTTTATTTCTCAAATCAAAACGTTCTTTAAACATTATTTATTTGAGCTTAAATAAAAATTTAATTATTATTTTTAAAATAAATTTATTCATTTTAGACTCAATACAATTTTGATAATATTAGTTTTGAGAAATAGATTAACTTATGAAAGTTGTTTTACAAAAACAAAATTTTTCAACATTGAAATTGTTTTATTTTGCTGTATTAATTCATAAAGTCTTAATATTTGAATTTTATATCGTTGGAAAGCTCTTTTAATCTACTTTCCAATGGATCAAACAAAATCAAAATCCAAATTTTCTAAAAAAAAAATTTTAATTTACTAAACACTATGTAATTGTTTAAAAGTTGCAAAATAGATAGTTTTAAAAATTCACTATAATTCGAATATAATGAATTAGATGATAAATTTTATATGAATAAAAAGCCCTTTTAAGTCTAGTTTTAAATCTTCAAACAATTTTTGATTCAGGGTCGTATAATTCAAGATATGATCAAATTCGTGAGTAAAGTACAAAACAAGAAACAACTAGTGGCACTATTCATCTAAACTAATTTAGTATCCAATATCTAGCTTACCCAATCAGTCGGGTACCAAAACCAATCGATCCCCTCAACTGTAATGGTAAAAAATTGAGTGAAATTCAAGAACCAATCGATTTCCTATCAAAACCAATTGATCTTTTCTTTCAAACAAGCTTTGACGGCTAGTTTCAAAGGAGAAAATCATATGTTTTCATTTTCAAAGCTTCTCCAACGATTAATTCCTCAATTCCTCTATAAATTAAACATTCCAATACATCAAAAAAAGTTGAAAAAACAAGAAAGCAAGCACTAACAAGTCATATTTTCATTCTCTCAAAAAAATCAAGAGTTTTAGAGTCAAAATTCCATATTTATTGTATCTAAGCCATCTTTGTTGTATTAATTCATCAATCTCCTTATGCTTCATTAGGCAAACACTTAGCCTTTGGGAGGTATTCTAGTTTACATTTCAATTGAGTGATTTTGTAATCAATAGGTAAGGTATCTTCTTGTATTTACGAGATTCAGATGTTACTTAGCCTAAAAAGTAGAGTGACAGGTTGCTATCTAAGCTTTACAAAAAAGATAGAGTTGTAATCTTTCCTCAATTAGTGGATTAAAACCTCAGTGAAGACAACTAAAAGAGAAGACATAAATGTCTTGAGAAAAAAGCCCGAACCTCTATAAATCTTTGTGTTTAATCTTTCTATCCCTACCCTTTTTACGATTATTATTGTTTATATTTGTTTCTAGGCTTATTAATTATTGTTGTTTGCAACATTTTTTTCATTAAGGAGCTTATTGTTTTAATTCTTCATTCATTTGTTTTGAAATCGTTATTTAGGAAGTATTTGGAGAAATCTAATTCTTCCCTCTTGGATCACCATCTCACCTAAAAAGCTAATAATTAATATTAAAACTTTGGTCTCTTTTTGTAGGTTTAACCACTTTAAGTAAAGATCTTATTGTTTAATTTAGAATCCAAGATGGTAAGAAGTCCTCAAAGCTCTCATGATTGAAAATTTTAAATTTTGTGAATAAAAAATGAGAATTGAAAATGTTCATCATGTCACAAAATTTTAAAGCTTGATTAATGATAAAAAAGAGGGCTTCGAACTCCTTCAAATGATGCAAACTATTTAAAGCAAGCGATGGATAAAACTAAAGCCAAGTGTTTACTCTATGAAGCTCTTGACTCTCATAACTTCAACTTGATCTCAAATTTTTCAACCTCTAATAACAAATTTTCAACCAACATGCATCATGTGTCATAGCTATTGAAGAATCGAAGATAACTTCTAATTCTATTGATTCAAATGAATATAATTTTCATAAGTTACATGATGAATATAATGAGTTAGTAATTGAGTTTGAAAAAATGTACTTGAAACGTAAAAAAATAATTTTAAAATTAAAAGTTGAAAATGAATTTTTAATGAATATGAAGAATGATTTGAAAAAATAAAATGATAAATTGAAAATGAATTTTAAAGCTTGCCAAAAGAAGAATGAAATGCTAGAAAAGGAGAATTTAGAATTGAGAATGAAATTTCATGAGTTGATGAATTAAAAACATAAGAGTGTCAATAATTCAAATATTAAAATGATTAAATGCATTTTTTGTAATTTTATGATCATACCACACATACTTATCTTATAAAAAGAAAATTTCCATTTAAAATTAGGCAAATATGGATTCAAAAAAAACAAAAGACTTGATCACTAACTCTCAAGGACCCAAAACAATTTGGGTACCAAAAATCAAATGAAGAATGTCTTTTATAAGTGTGCTAGAGCAAGAAGCAACAATATAAGATTGAAGATTGGATACTTTAGACACACAATGGAGATGGATAACTTCTAAACTTTTATTTTAAGTGAACATGAAATCGGTTTCCTATTCTTGTTAAACATTGAGTGTTTAATGGATATTGATATATATTTTATTGATATATCTTGAATATACCAATTTTATTTTACATATGTGAGCTTGAATTAAGTATGCATTTATTTTTTTCTTTTGAATGCATGATTTTAATATATTCCTTATGTTTGTTGAGATTGTGTTTAATGCTTATTTGCTTCAGATACATTTTACTCAAACTTGATTAAATAATCTATTTAAATTTAATCTAATTTAATTTTAAAAATTAATAAATTGCATACAAAATGACTTGAGCTCGAGTGATTTAAATCCAAATAACTCAGGTGTCAAATATGAAATACCTAAATTGAAATGATCCAAAATTGAATTGGTTCGAACCAAAAGTGACCTAAATTCAAAATGACCCGAACTCAAAACAACCAAAAAATGAAATGACCCAATCCAAAATTAACCAAATTTTTTAAGGCCCAAAATGACCCCAACTAAATTAACACAATCTAAACCCAACAAGACTCGCCCAATTGACAGATTTACATCTTCACAATTTACATAACAAATCAAATCAAATTTATTCACTCAAGGAGTAAATACATTCATAATCCCTAACTTTTTTATATATTCTAGTTCTATTTTAATATTAATAATTCGTTAACTATTCTATTTGTTTGATGTTTCATAGTGATTTTATTTTGATAATTTCATTAAATTATTTTGTTAACAATTGAAAAACATGCACGCAAGGAATGCCAAAAAAATGTCCACGTGACAATGACATATGACATTATCTACAATATCGACATTAGGTTAGTTTTAACAAAAGAATTTGACAAAAAAGCCAAATATAACCATTTAGAAAAGTTAGGATCTAAATGATCCAATTCAAATGATTCTCGTTAAACTAAAATCCAGAAAAAAAAAAAAAAAAGTTAGGGATCATAAGTGGAATTTACCGCTCTCCCAAGTTTGTATTCGCAAACATGGAAAAATTCAAGAAATCTTGATGTGCATTTGTTATTAGTTTTAAATGATTATTGATTTGAGGCTATAGACAAAAGAGAATCAAAGAGTGAAATAAAATTTTAATCAGTCCCTACCAATAAGCTAAGATTAGTTACTTGGGTATAAAAGCTTCTCTGGCCGGTTGAGTGGGAAACATAATTTTCATGTTTCTGAAAATTTTTGCCAGGAACTTTCGAGTATTGGGAAATCATCCCCTCAATTATTCCTTTGAAGAATCTATTTTCCGCAGCTAACCTTGCATACTCATTCTACAAGCATTTGTTTTCAACATTCAGTATAATATTTGCACAATAGAAAGCTAAACTAAAAGCAGAGGAGAGAAGCATCAAATCACATTAATGGAAATGTTATGATATTTTATTGATTTATAGTTATAATTATATGCTAAAAAAAAAAAAACCAGCAGAGAGAAACAGAGAAAGAGATTTCTTTACCTTCTTTTTTTGCCTGTACCTTCTCTTATTTTTTCCTCTTTGAAAAACTCTTGGGTGTGGTCGTTTGGAAGCTTCAGATCGAGATATTTGCTGATGCATCCCTGAGCCAAATTGTTCCAATTACTTTGGTTATTGCTATAGAATTAAATTAAAATATTTAATTTAGACAATTGATTGATTTTACAAAAAAATATCATAATAAATAATCCCCTTAATCTGTTTGCAGAATAAAAAAGAGAAAGATCATGGATGATCAACCAGGAAGTGAGTCAACTAAAGGTCAACTTATAGTCAACTCTACCCATAAAAGCAGGGAAATGCAGAAAAAGAGATGAGATCAACAGAGAATGGGTATAGATAATCTCCATAGAATGAAAGAAAAAAAAAAAAAGAGAAGAGAAGAAACTGATTCAACTTTGGTTCATTTCTATAAAAGAAGCTAATTTAACACGAACAGGGAAAATCAAACACTTACCTGAGAAGCTGATTTTACAAGAACCTGCTTCAGAATCCTATAATTAAGCTCCACTACGCTTTACTCTTCTGATCAGCAACAACTTGCAAATTAAGTAAAATCTTAAAAGGAATCAAGACTTCCAACAACAAAAAAGCAAGACTCAGAAAAGACTTGTTGTTGAACTTGAACCATCCGATTAGGCCCCACGAAGATTATTGGAACCGTTAGATCATAGATGGTGAGAAAAAAGCGCATTCTTTTTTGTTTAACCGTGTCTCGTGCATTATTATATTTCAATCGCACGATAGCCTCAAGTGATCGAACGTTTTTTAACTCTATTTCGCGTTGCCGAATGTTCTGGACGCTGTCTAGTGCTTGTCAGTCCAATCTGCCAGTAAACTAATGTTGTTGGAATGTCGAACCCTTTTCATATTGTTCCCTAAGGATACTTCATTGCAAAGCTTTTTTTTTTCAAAGAGTATTATGTTCGCTGTTAGTACTATGATTCTGTGGAGATGGAGAAATTGATTCTTCTTTGAACTTATTTTTGCTTGCTTTAGGGAAACTTAAGTCTAAAACTATAAATGTTAAAATTTGCTATATTGGTATCACTCACTCGTAATTTTGTAGAATTTGCTATTCTTATGTGACCAAAATCCGAATTGGAAACCTCCTACACTTTCGCTTTTATCTTAAATCCTTTTAGGATTGACTTTTATTGCCAAATGTGAGGAAAACATTCATAGAGTGAGATAAAAACTATTTCTACCACAGATAAAATAAGGTATTGAAACGATTTTTAGTAATCGCTAGATGAATTTAAAAATAATAAACAAGAATCCTCACAAATTTTTTTTAATTTTATGTAATTGATCATTTATTATAATTTATTATTTTAATAAAATTTTAAAATTAATGAAAACTTACTAAAAAGATAATTTTTTGGGTTTGTGAAAATAATTTAGGTTCGAGAGTCGATTATGTATATGAAATGATTAATATTCTCACAGTATCTGTTTAAAACGGTATTAATTAATTATATTTTATTTTTTAATTTGACTAAAAGAATCTTAATTTTGGTATTTAAAATTAATTTTTTTAATTTTTTTATTGTAATAATTTTAATAATTTTTTTATTATTATATTTTATTCGAGAAAAATACTAAAATCTTATTATTGAAAAAAATCTTAAAATGACTTAATATGTTGGTAATATTGAAAAAAAAAATTTCACTTAGAGAATTCTCGAAAATCATTACTCAAACTTTTTAAATATCTTATTATCGACTGTTCATATTTATTTTTAAGATTTATACATGTAATAAGATATGATAACTATAATTTAATCTTGATAATATTAAAAAATTCTATTTCTTATTCTATTTATTAAAAAAAGATGAAAAATTTTTATCGAAAATTATTATAAATGCTCCAATATATTAGTGACATTTTAGATAAATTTTATTACCTAGAGCTTCTTAAAAAATTACTACTTAGACTTCTTTAGGATCTCATTCTTAGAGATTTTATTTATTATATATATTTTTAATATGATGCATATGGATTAATTTGTAATGCTATTACGTTATATAAAAATTCAATTTTAGAAGTGAAAAATAAATAAGAATTTATCATATTGAGAATTATTTTAAATATTTTAATTTTTCGGTAATATTTCTAAAAAAAAATTTTCACTTAAGAAATTCTCAAAAATCACTATTCAGATTTCTCGGAATCTTATAATTGAAAAAGTCATTTAATTTTTATCACATTCTACAATAAAAGTTTTTACAAAAATATAAATAAATACCAATGATAATAATTTTTTAAAAAAATATTTATTTTCACAAGCATTATTATTTATTTTAATTACATATTTTTTTAAAAAATATTATTGACATAATCTAAAACATGGTAATAAAAGCCAAAATAAAAAAATAACAAAATTATACCCAGACAAAACCTCTGCATTAAAACCCAAAATCATGTGTCCACGAAGCCAAAAATTGAAGCCCAGCTACCTCCAACAAATGGTCCAGCGGATGAAATCTTAGGAGCTGGTCATGGATTGTGGGTCAATAGCTGATGCTGGTCTTTAATCCAATGGCCCTTAAAGCCTAAACCCAGGTTGAATCCAACTGACCCAAATTTGGTGGGCTTATAGATCATATTAGAAACAGGCCGGAGTTGCGAGCTGGTTTTGACTCGGCAGATTCTTTCCTTTTTTTTTTTCAAGTATAAAACTTTGTGCTTTTTTTTTTTTTAACTCACTCCTTTCCCCTTCACAAAAAAAAACTTCTTCTGCAAAAGAAACAAAAACCCAACAACTAGGTTCTTCAAAATCCCAGATTTCGGCTGTTACACCATCGCCACTTCTCGTTTCCAGCCTCGGATCACGGCGACGATACGTCTTTTTCTCTTTTTTTTTCTTCTTCTTCTTTTTCGGTTGCGCCTCCTTTCTTTTCCAGCGACCCCAGCCAAAAGCCTCTTCAGCTGCCAATCCTGGCTTCGACGGGCCTCCTCAGTCCTCTCTTTCTCCTCACTTTTTTAAAATGAAACTGATTTGATTTTTTTGTTTTTAAAGAAAATGAAACTGATTTCTTTTCTTGTTTTTTATTTTTTGTTTGCATGATGGCTTTGGCTCTGGTGGTTCCTCCCCTCGGGGAGAACTGTGTTTTTTTTTTTATTTTTTTCTGATTTGTTGCTGTGGTCGGCTGAATGGGGTTGTATCAGGTTTTTGGGTATTTTTCTTGGGTTTGATGATGATCTGTGGAAGTATGGTAATTTTTCTGGTGGTTGTGGATTGGTGATCTGGTGTTAGTTTTTTTTTTTTTTTGGGTAGAGGCGGCTGGTGTTTGAGCATGGGAGGATTTCAAAGACTCTGGCTATATGGAAAACAAGGGGCCGTTTGGGGCTTTTGCTGGCGAACGGGTAGAGGGTCTGGTTCCAAGGGGCTTGGGTTTTTGAAATTGAAATGCAGGGTCGGTTGTTTGAATGGTCGGCCGAGGCTTGGTGCGTGCGCTGGTGGTGGCCTTCTATTGGTGAGGGTTTGAGATGTGCAAGAGGCGGTGATGAGAGGCTGGGTTGATGCAATGGAGGGGCTTGGTGCGGGTGAGGGAAGGCAGGGGTTCGTGTGGGTGAAGGCAGGTAGGCTATGCTGCTAGGCCCATGGCTTGGGTAAGGTCTGTATTGGGGCTCGGCTGGGCGGCAAGGTGTTTGCAAGGTGTTGGCAGGTGGAGTGCAGGGACTGGGATGGTATTGAGGGACTATGCTGGGGCTCCGGAGATGGGCGAATGAGACTTGGCTTAGTCTTGTGAGAGGGCTTGGTGCTTGCCAAAAAAAATGGATGTTTGAACCCCCTTCCTTTGTGTTTTTTCCCCCAATCTTTTTGATCTATGATTCTTAGTATGGACAAAATTTTGCAGAGTTTGGTGGCTGCTGGCAATGTGCAAGGTCATCTCTAGACCACTTTGGGTCGTGAGTGAAGTTGATGTGGTTTACATGCAGTCTTTAATCATTTTCAGTAGGCCATCCAGTTGATGTATATGATCGAGCATGAATTATAGCAAAGAATTTCTCTGATGCTGACGCTAATGGATATTTCTGTGTAATGCCATTTCCGTAACGCGCATTGAGCTTTTCTAACTATTCCGACGTATGCAGGTTTGCTAAGCAGTGAGTTACCGCAGTTTCCTGATGAAAAGATGGCCACATTTTCCCGTTTGCATCAAAATTAATAAAAATCACAATAAAAGTTGTTACTGAGATGATGATAGAATATTAAACTCTTAATTTTAATATTAAGATTCAAATATTCATATTTTAATAAAAAAAATGGATGCATGTATAAAAAGCAAGACGTGTCCAAAAGAAGGCATCGAAAGAATTTCTAAATTTTTAAAGCATATTATGCACATTTCGTGGCTTGGTCAAAGGGTTTAAGTAATTTTTGAAACTTTAATTAGGGCATTGTTGTCGTTAACTTGCTGTTGATTTTTGGTGTTTCAATTTGTGTTTTTGGTTAGAGAAGAGGGTGGCACTAGCGGGCAGTGTTGGATCGAGCCTCCAAAGTGCACTCGACGATGTTGGCAAATAGTGCCGTTCATGGTTGAGTCAAACCAAGTTTAATTGATAATTTGTCTATTTAATTTTGTTTAATTTAAATTTATTATAAAATAAATATTATTATAATTGTTTTTTATATTTTAAATATATTTTAAAATTAAAAAATAAATAAAAGTAATTATTTAATAATAAAATATGAACATATATAAGATTTAAATTTTAAAAATCTTATTCAATACTCATCTCATGAAAAAATTTACGGACAAAGGTGAAGGGAAGCATTTGGATGGCATTAAAAGAGAAAAAAAAAAAAAAAAGAAGCACGTAGATGATTTAATATCTATTCATTTTAGACTTGATTTGGATGGCATTGCAATTTCAGTGAGATACAATTACCAACTAAAAAGCCATCAAAAGGCCACAATGAAATCCAAATGCTTCGATGGTAAAGTTATTTTTAACACATTGAAGTTTTAAGATTTGGTGAAAAAATTATTTTCTACCGTAGCTATATTTTCTGATATTACTTATGCTTTTTTTTTTTTTTTAATTTTTAGTTTATAGTGCACTAGATTTTTTATTTTTTTCATTTTTCATATTTTATTTAAAAATGTTTAAATAATTATGTTAATTTAATGTAATAAATAAACTTTATAATAATTAATAAGTAAATAAATAAACATATTCATAATATAAGAATTAATTAAACTATATAATTACATAAATAATAAAATAGATAAATATTATTAATTATTAATTTAATGTGAATAAATAAATTTAATCTAATGATATTAAGGATATTAAATATAAAAATTATTATATTCAAACTTTAAATTAATTTATTATATGAAAATTTTAATTTAATGATATTTATTATCATCGTCCAAACATTTTAATCTCATATTAATATAATCAATTTTATCTGGATCATTATTTCCAATCTCTCCCCCTGCTCCGTCTCATTACTCGTCCTGATGACTTAATTTCTCTTATGAGAAAATTTTTATGAAAAGCGATCAATGATTGAAAAAGTAACAAGAGAATCAAAAATCAACTCACACTTGCCAGTTGGCATTCGTTAATGAACCAAGGAGAGGGAAGAAAACTATGGGCTCTTCGTTTCTGTTTCAAAGTTCGTACAAGATTTTTGAGTTTTGGGCAATTTTTTTTTTCCTATGATCGTACCTGTTTTAACCTTTTTGGAAATTACCATGCAAAATGCAGTGCAATAACTTACGACTAATTATTCAAAGAAAAATAAACAAAAGAAATCATGATTTACCTTAATAGGCTCTTAAAGTTTAGTCACATTAATGTAACTACTGACCACATTTGTAAAATTTTATCAAAGTTGTTAAATATACAATCTAAAATTTAAATTATAATAAATATAGGTATGATAAATAAAGATATAAATAAAAAAATCAAATATTATAAATAAAATAAAACCTCCAATTTATCAAATTAAATTTTAAATTAAATTAAATTAAATTCATAAAAATTTACAACTTGAATACAATCAAACTCAAACAATTTAATGGTTGAATAATTTGTTTTATTAAATTATTTATTTACAGTTTACGTTTCTTACAAAAATAATTACCAAAAAATTGATAGTAAAATACAAAAGCTTATGTAAATTGTCAGCATATATTAGTTTTCGGACTTTGAATCAAGAAATCCTTCGAATTTAGAATTTAATTTGTTAATAACTTGTGGTTTGAAATTTGTAAACTAACCATTGGTAGAACTTATATTCGATCGATGAAGAATAGAGTATCACAGTAGATGGATAATCTCTAGATGGCTTACCTCTTAAATCACTATGTACCAATGATCGTTGCACCCATATATAATTGCATTTTCAATAGAAACCGCTAATTTAGGGACAAATTGTGGTTAGCCTCTATTAAGTGTGGATTATTGATGAGTTTGAACCACTTTGGAATAAAAATTGCGCACTAAAAGTGTATCATTGGTCTCTAAAACGTAAAATTAAATTTCGTGCTCTAGTGTTTTTTTTTTTAACACAAAAAGCATTGTTTGAGATTTAAATTTTAAATGTGAAAGCAAAATATAATTAAACAACCAAATGAATTCAACTTTATCCGATTCTTTGGATAAAATTAAAAAAAAAAAAAGAAGGAAAAGCCAGCTTTACATGACTCAAAACCCAGCAAACTAGGCATGGATTATTAATGCACATAAATTCAGCAAGGATGATTTTGTAATTTGAAGATATTGATGAATTGCAGTTGCAATGTTGGAACTGTTTTAGTAGCAGAGCAAAGTACAGACTTGAAGAGAACTAAATCGAAATTTTTGAGAGAGAGAATGGTCAAGACAAGGCTGTGCAGCTTCAGCACGCCGCATCAGAGAACGTGCACAGAACGAAACCTAGCAGCATAGCCTCACACGTGACTTTCTCTGAGGAGAGCCCCAGTTTGTTAAAATTTTGTCTGTCAAACAGCAAGTTTCTGGATTTTGCAAAAGGAAACATGGCAAAAATCTATATATATATGCTACCAGAAGTTTTTCTAGATTCGATTTATTAAAATTTAATGTGAGAAAACTTAACGAAAAAACTCTGAACAGATCCTGATAACGAAGAACAGTAAATTCTTCCTTCCTTCCATTCAATCTCTGTAAAAATTTGCATTTCCTGAATTATAAAATAGAGAAAAGACCAAAAAAGGTAGTAAAACAAGGCAAAAAAGTTTGCTGCTACATAAGTAAGTTCACATCAATCAAACATGCAGGCTGATACACAGACCGACAATCCCCCCACCTGAAAAAAAGACTCAAAAGGCAGAATTTTAAGCTTTCTTTCAGAAGAGGAACCCACCTAGAGAAACCCAACATCTCCTAGTATAAAAAAAAAAAAAAGAATTCTTACAAAATAAAGGGGAGAAAGAAAAATCAATGCTCCCGTGTCTCCCGCTGATTTGAGAATTGCTGGGTCCCTGAGCTCCTACTTTGCACCTGATCGTCACCTGTACTCTCCTCCTTCTCTCCTTCCTCCTCCGATTTCTCACCCTTTTCACAGCAACAGCCCTTTTCACTCTTGTCAGCAAAAGAAGAAGACTTGGTAGAAGAAATGGGGGTGGCCAAAAACGTTGGCTTTGCTTCTCCGGCCATTATCACTAGAATCTTTTGTTCCATAACAGGTGCGCCGCCTCCTTTCTGGGTCTCGTCTCCTTTACCTTCTCCTGCTTCCAAGTCTCTCTCCACTTGCCCTTCCTCACCGTTCTCAAGGTAGCCTGATAGTTTCCAATAAGAGCAAGCGAGAATGAGAAGCGCAAACGCTATGAGACCAAGCATGGCAGCCAAGCCACCGAACAAGTACGGAACTGGTGAATGCCATGGTGAGTGTGGAGTAGCGACTCCTGAAGTTGTCTTTCCCGTGACATTAAATGGCTCCCTTGCTTCCATTTTTGTTTGCTTTCAGATCAAAGTTTGAAGCAAAAGTTACCAGGGAAAAGAAAGAGAAAAATCTAAGTGGTTTTTTGGGAGTTGTTGCGAAGGTGTTTGTAGGAAGAATGGTATGATTTATGGCGTCATTTTGTACTAATATTGGGAAGGGCCACAAAGTGGGGCAGTCAGAGTTCTTTGTGAATTTCTAAAGAAAACATGCACTTACTAGTCCAAAAAAGGAATCTTAAATGTACTTATCTTTGGGCTGAAAACAGATAAAAGCTTATCTTCCCTCTCTTTCATACGTGGATTGCACCTGTTAAAATTATAGTGACAGTGCGTTTCAGGATTGTTACAGGCATGGTTTCATGGGCATAAATTTTATAATATTAAAAGATTAATAATGGTGGGTAATCAAATTAATGATTAACAAATAAAGATAAAATATTTAAAATAAAAGAAATATTTTCTTAAGTTAAATAATTAAAATATAGAGATATTTATTTTTAAGAATTTTTAAAATTTTAAATTTATTTATTAAGGAAATGATAATATCTTAATTGATAATATAAAAAAATGCATATGATACATCGAATATAAATTCTTAAATTACATATTTTCAAAGAAGAGTTAACAATGAGACAAGTTGTGCAATGACCACGTCCTAGAATTTGAGATTGAAGTAGTTTTGGATACATTACTTTGTGGTTTGGGTCATTTTTAATTTAAATTACTTTGATTCTTTTTTTATATTTTATACAAAATTTTAATTAAAATTAAGTAAAGTTAAATCTAATTTCTAAAATACCATATATATATATATTAATGATCATTTTTTAGTTAAAGTAAAATTTAAATATAAAAACTAGTATAAACGACAATATTTTATATCTTTGAGTCATTTCTTTAAGTCGATTTTCATTTGAGTCTATTGGTATTAAGATTAAGTTGGTATATTAGAGTGTTGATACTTTTAAAATCATATTAGATTTGGGTAGGGTATGGCTTCCAACTTGTCAAATGATATTTTTCAAATCAAGTATGATTAATCCAAGACCCTAATTTTAATGAAAATATTAATGATCAAATGCCATTTTGTATATTTGTTTAGAAAAAGAAGTAATATTGTCACGACCAAGCAAATATCATATAATTACGTAACAATCATGTAATCAAACTTCAAGTTTGGAATCACTATAAGAAAAATGCTTTTTACTGACAAAATTTTTAATAAATAAAAATTAATTTTTCATCAATAATAGTATTATCAACATATTTTATCGACGGTGTTAGACAAGTTGATAATGATACTTTATTAATAATAAATAAAACTTGAGGGTAATTATTGATAAAATTTTAATTAATAAATTTCGTCGATAATTACCGATAAAATTATTAACGATAGAATTTATCGATGATAAAATCTATTAGTAATTTATGTTAAATTTTATCAGTATTTTGTCAGTAATATATTGGTAATTTTTATTTTTTAATTATATTTAATATATTATATTTATAATTTTTGTTATTTTATTTTAATTTTTTAATTTATTTTTAAAATAATTACATAAATACTAAATATACATAAATAAAAAAAATGCTTCATGTTATTTATAAAAGAATGTAAAATATTTTACAAAATTATTTATGAATTCTATTAAATAAAATACAAAAAATACAGGCAACTAAAGTGTAACCGCATAATGATCAAAATGAAACATTTGAGGTATAGTCGCATACCCATATCCCATTCCAGTCTCTTCCAGATTCTGTCTAAAGTTACCATCAACTAATCCAACAGTTGGAAAATTTTGTACTCCAAAGAACCCAATTGATTCCAATTCCTTTAGAAAGTAATCCATTCAACGAAAAGGATCAGTTCCACACACTCCAGCAAGAACTGGTACCGCCTTCACCACCTATGAGTCTTTGAAGCTAAGTGTCAGAAAGAAATTGTAAAAATGGTGACACTGAAATTAGTCAGAAATAAGCTGACAGTCATTTACCTTTTACAATTGAAGAAATAAAATTTGAAACAAATGTTAAAAGAGTACTTAAAAGGAAAAGATTTAACTAGTGTATATGGCAATTGACGACACATGTAAGCATTTTAAAACTTACTGGAAGTACTCATTTGCCATCTCAAGGACTATTGCATTTGCATCAGCAAAGGACAATAGCCCAGCCAAAGAAACCCTTCTTGCCGTACCAAAGCGTCCTGAATTATACAAAATTATCAGATCAACTCCACCTGCCTCCTTAAATTTTGCCGATATTCCAGTCCTTGCACCAGCTCTGACTGTGGGCAGTCCTTTAGATATTTGATCTCTGAGTTGCTGCAATATTGCCTGACTTCTTTGTAAAGTTTCCGACACAAAATTGCTACAAGATAGCTTTCTTCCAGATTGAAACAAAGAAACATATATAATCTAGCTACTTAATAAAAATGCAGATCAAGTTGTTTATAATTAACATATTGGAAAAATTGTAATTTTGGAACTGATTAAATATAAGATAATGCAGATTTTGAAATGGCATTACGGTAGTCTGTTCTCTGTTATGAACTTGACTAGAGTTTTTATGAAGGCCATACAGACACTTGAGAGATATCAGAACAAAAGAGGACTACCTTTCTGTGAAGATATTCATATGATATTTCCAGTAAAGGAACCCCATTTAACAAAATCTTTCCCTTTAGAGGATCATAGAACCTCTCAATTAAGTTTGCTATTGTGGTCTGCAACAGATTGGAAGTTTAGATTCATTTACTAGTACAGGTTGGAGAAAATGACATCAACAGCTGAAATACTCTTAATAGAGAAACTAGAAAAAGTAAAGATGGAAAGGGATGATAAAATTCTTTTGTCGGTAATTTCGTAGGTATTTTTTACCGACAGAAAATTTCATCAATAAAATTCATGACAATTGACGTTAAAGTTTTACTTATGGATTATCGACAGAATTAAATTCGTCAGTAAATTCTGTTAATAATCCGTTAATAAAAATTAAATTTTTTTATATTCCGTCAGTAATCCATCAATAATTACCAATAAAAAATTTTTATTTGTAAAATTTCATCAGTATAAACTAAAATTTTAGTTTTTTTATCAGTAAAATTCTGTCGGTTTAAGTTCTAATTTTGATAGTGAACCGTGTTTTATCAATTAGGTTTTAGGTACTTGCATGAATCCTATGTAATATGAAACAAGTTGCAAAATTTATAAATAGTGCTAATTAAAGTAACAGCCCTGACTATGGTATTGCAATTTGCAAAGCAACTAGCTAGCTAGCAATGTTGATGATGGGTGTTGGGAATTATATATCAATTAAAATGGTTAAGATTGGTAATAATTTGAGAGAGAGTATCCACAGTACAAGACATTGGTTGGATAATGGATGGAGTATAGGAATAATGAGCTCTAAGAATATAAGGGACAAAAGAAAAAGTTTCTTTGGTTCCATCATTTGTTTTGCCATATGATAAAAATGTTGGTACCAAAAAAATTGTCGGAATTCTTTTCTGTTGCATGATTATATGTTTTGAGCAATGTTTGAATTCATCTTAATTCATCAACGTTTGTCGTTTTAAAATTAAGACAAATTTCTAGCTGAAAATTTCCTCTCCAAGAAAAAAGAAAACAACAACAAATAATGAGGTTAATTTTTAGTACATAAGGATTAACAATAATCAAATTTCTTATCATTTTCATGTGATTAATTAACGTAATCTAAACTCAAGCGTGGGCGGAAAGACAAACGTTAGAAAAAACTAAGCATCGGCTGTCAGAAACGGTTTCAGAAAAAGATGCTTCAAATTGATTGGAGAAAGAACCAACACTTAAAACAGTTACCCAATAAACATAAAAATGTTTCATGCAATCGTATTTGTTTGTGGTAGCGTGAGATTTTGGGCTACTTTGTGACATCCTTTCCTGCCTCTTACATTGTAATATACAAGTGTTAGAGATGGAACTCTCAACTTTATGAGAATTTATTTAAAAAATATATAAATATATATCACTTATAATAATTGTATTATAATTAATCAATCAAATTTTAAATTATGTTGAGTTTATAAAAATATTATGTAGAGTCTAGTCTTATAAGTGATAGATTCTCACATAATTTTTTTATTGTAATTGGATAATTATAGTATTATAGTAAAAAAAAATTCTAATTGAAATACTTCTTTAAAAAAGTAAATGAACTATTTAAATTATAGGCTAGCTAGGTTCAAATTCATATATAGTTTTGCCCTAGTTTCATTTTTAGAGGAAAAAAATTAGCAGGAATATGATTTTATAATATGTTTTATTTTTTAAAACAGAACTAAGGAAAAATTAATGCAAAAGGGAGAGATGATATACACAAAAAGTGAGAAATGGGAAATATTAAAGAAGAAAGAGAAAGGAGATGGAGACCTAACTGGAACTGCTTTGCTTATGCTAGATCACTGCTAGCTGTAGTTGATCAATTTGGCACCAACATTCTAGATAGGATCTGGTAATTGATATCTAGCACTGCCAATGAATATATAGTGCTCCCCAATGTTTGGTCTCTAACATCAAAACAGCCCAGATAGAGAGCAGCTGGTCGGCAATTAGATATGTACACCATCATCATCAATTAGTTGGCTTTGTGTTAATTAAGTGGTTTGAAATTCGAAAATGAAAGATAAAAATAAGATAATTAGTAGTAAATTTTACATATAAAAGTTAATTTGTGTCTTGTTCGGACTATTTTTCATTTTTTTATCATTTAATTTCCATTGGAAATTATAACAATTTTCATTTTTTACTAGAAGATGTCAAAAAAAAAAAAAAAAAAAACAAGGTTTTGGAGGGATGAAAATGAGATTAAAAAAAAAAAACAGAAAAGAAAAAAACTATTTTGGAATTTTACTTTTCCAATGATATGTCGGCAACTTTTGGTCTTGCGAACGTACCTACAGTTTTACTATATCCCTCGAATGATGTAAAAATTATAAGGGCAAAAAATATGTTTATTTTTATTGATCTTTTAGATAAAAAGAATTCAATTTTAATCATTATGTTTAATAAAATCATAAAATTAAACAAATTTTTTTAAAAATTGTAAAATTTAAGTTTAAAATTTTTAAAACATATTTTTTAAAATCTTAGTTAAATACAACAATAACAACAAACAAAATTTTATAACTTATAAATCTAAATTGGTTATATAAAAGATCAAAAAAATGAATTATATTAAATTGTAATCTTAAAGTTTCTTACATTACTCATTTATATAAAAAACAAACTTTTTCATTTACTTTCTCAAACTTTTAGATTATTTTTTATTATTTATATTTACATCTTTCATAATTTATATCTCACTAATCTAAAAGTTCATTTATCTTTAATTGATATATAAATAAATCTATATT